CCCCCCCGTCCCGCCGCAGGCCTGGAGTAAACACAGCTGAGCCGGAGGCCAGACCCACCACCCCGAGCCGCCCGTGGGTGCGTGGCCGAGGAGGTGGGAGTGGGTCGGTGGGGGCTGCTCAGGGCACGGCTGGCTGCCTGCTCCGAAAGCGCCGACCTCGCTGCCAAATGGCAGGGCAGGAGCCTGCGGGACGTGGCAGCGGGGAGGGAGGGAGGAAAAACCGACAAAGGAAAAGCTGCCTCTGCGCTCCCACCCACTGCAAACACTCGCTGAACTCCCCAAGAGCCGATGGCTCTCCAACGCCTGCCCGCCCTTGGCCCCAGCAGCCACCCCGGGGACTCCTCGCAGCCCTGCCTGAAGGGGAAAAGTTCAGGAATGCAGGAAAGTTAATGGCACGGCTGGCCTGCCAGGCCAAGGCCAAGTCCAAGGGCTTAAACTTTTAACACATGATCACACAATTAGTAAACAATCCTCTCCATCCTCTCCTCTCCTCACAGCTCTACCAGCTCTCCCTTGCTATTTGGTTGGGATAAGAGATACCAGACCACGTACAGAGCTGGGAAAGGGATCAGCCGGAGGCGGCAGCTCTCACCTTCGTAAAGCTGGGCATACTGAGGGAATCCCGCCGCCCGCAGCCACTCGCACGCTTTCTTGGCTTCGACTTCTGAAAGAAAGCAGAGAACCAGCCTGAGCATCCCGCCCGGCAGCAGCGATGCTCCCCAGAGCAGCAGCCCGCTCCCCCGCAGCTCTCCAGCCCGTGTTTTACGTGCACAAAGCAGAGGAAACTCTGGCTGCAGAGCAACTGCTCAGCTTCAGCCCCTCCGCCAGCACAAGGCGAAGAGGAGGAGGTAACACAGGGCCTCAAGGCACAATTTCAACCTCCCGACGAAACATTTTGTTTCTGAACCCACCAAACCAAATACAGTGCTTTGCCAGGCAGGAGAGGAAGATCTTTATTTGTAATAATTAGCTCAGAGCTCATCAAAGCTTAGGGCTGGTCACTTTTGCAAACATCCTCCAGTACAGGCTGCCAAAGGAACCTTCCCTTCTCCTTCCTCCTTCCCACCAGCCCGGAGCACCCCACCCCTCCTTTCAAGCAGGCGTCCATCCTGGTAGGCACCAAAACCCTGAGAGTTCTCTACAGCCCCCTGCCCGACCGGTTCCCACCCCTCACACATGGTTCAGCCATCGCCTGGAGGAGCCCATCTAACAGCCAGCACTATTTTCTGGGAAATTTCTCAAATTTACAGAACTTGAGGGAAAACAGCCCAAAGCTCAGGCAGCCAAAGCAAGCTGCTGCCTGGTGTCGGCAGTCCATCGGTCTGCTGAGATTTATACTTCTGAGGGTGACAAACATTTGACCTCAAGCGTAGAAAATGTGACAGTAGTTTTCAGGGTCTTGCCCATCCCTCTCAGAGGCACCACCCAGCACAGACTGGACTGAGGCTGCGTCCACCCGGAGCGGACTGCAGCGAAACTCCCCAATTTCATCACCATCCATCAACAGCCACCGCCGAGGGCTCTGGCTGCATTTCCAATTACAAAGCTACAGCCGGAGGAAAAAAAAAAAAAAAAAGCTCAAAACAAGCAGTTCAGTTAAGGACAGGACCAAGCCAAAACCCTGGACCCAAATAATTCAGAAGTTTTGGGAAGAAGTTTTGGAATAAGCGTCTGTGTCTGGGTCCAAGCTGCGCAGCTGCCCTCAACCGCGCCACGAGCCCGGGTGAAACGCGGGGGCTGACCCTCGCAGGGGTCAGACCCAGAAACTCCAGTGGAAACCTCAACCCTGGAGCTCGACCGGCTCAGCCTGGTCCCTGCAGAGTCCCGCAATCCCCCCAGCGTCCCCCGGCCCCTCCGCGGGGGACAGTGCCCTGCAGCTGTGAGCAGCCAGCCGGGAGGGCACCAAGAGTCACGGCCCAGGCGAGCACCTGCGGTGACAATGGCTCCAGGGAGCAGATCCCCCCCGCGACCCCGGCACAGGCAGCGTCCGAGGAGGAGCATCTCCCACAGACCCCCGCCAACAGACCCGCCAGACCCCTCCCGCCCCTGCTCCACTCTGCTCCTCCATCACTCCCAACGGAGTCTGTC